ATCATAAAAATTAAAATTAATAAATAATTTTATAAATTTTCCTATGATTATTAAAGTTAGGTTTGAAAATTAATAGTAATGATTTATTACCGGGATTTAAAGAAACGCAAGAAAGTTTAGGGAAAAAAATTTTTTAAATTAAAAAAATCTAAATAAGGAGCATAAATATATTTTTTTCGTGTTTTCCCTTTTCATAATTTTCCTGTTATCAACGATTTCGTTAATTTCTCTCGTATCGTTATCATCATCGTACGCGACGTCCATCAAGTTTATACCATTCTGCTACTATACCTCTTCTCCTACGACCACATCCATAAATCGAGAACAAAATTCGCGATAACCAACTCACTCTATCAACTGTCTCTACTTCTCGCTACAATATCTCTTTTTGTAAGACACGTTCCACATACGTCGACAGCGATACCGACGTTATCGTTATCCACCTAACAAGTATCGTAAACGTTGGTACAGCCACGGCGTGTGTACACGCGGATACACGGTGCCATAATTCGATATGCACGCTCGTTACGAGGTGACATCGCGGACCGTTTACCGTGTTCCATGCAGAGACAAAGGGATACAATATTATAGTCTTTGTCTGGATACCAAAGCGATGGAGCGCGATTCCAATAACGCGAAACCAAAAAATCCATTCACGTTCAGAGTACTAAAAAGAAAGAAAATAAAACGAATAAACGGTGACTTTAATTTCGAGTTATTTTTATTTATCGCGATTTAATAGTTAGAATTTTCAGTGTATTCCAGAATTTCTAAAGAACAATTGATTTTAACTAGAACAATTTTAATCCGAGCATGAAATTATAGAAGATATGATATCAAATTTATGTGATTTTTATATCAAAAATTATTTCGATAAAATATTGTTTTGATTATTATATCAAGAATATCGGTATTCTAATAGCATGATCGGTGAATGATCATTCTCGATATACCAGGATGGGGTCAATGAATTGTCGGAAGTTCGAAACTCATTGAAATCTAATTGCAAGAAAGTTATAAGCTTCGGAACTTTGTTCTTCACTTGGTAGTTTGAAATTCTTGTAACAAAATCTATAAACGGAGAAAAAATATCCTGTTTCTTCGTCGTCAAGGGTATTTTCTAGAAGACTTGCCAGTAAATGTAACATCGAAAAGGAAACAAAAATTAGAAGAAAGGAACGATAAATTGAGAAAGAGTTCGAGTTGGTATTCTCGAACAGAGACCTGAAAAAGGTACTTCTGTTTCTATTTCGTCTAATTATGGCCAATAATTAATTTAATAATTAATCATCTGAACCGCGATTTCCGTTCTTAAAACAGAATATTCGTCACTGATTTAAACGGGTACTTGAAATTTTCGAGAGTTTTCATCGTCAAACACTCCAGGTACTTATAACTTTGTTGATATTCAAAGTTCGGATATATACCTTTACATATGTACACGCCTTTAATATTATATTCCTTGAAAGGACGAAAATAAAGCCAATCCTTTTAATTTTCCTCTTAATTTCCTAAAACCGGCTCTTAAAATCTCGTAAAATATTAAATTGGAGTTTCGAGAATTTAAAAATTAGCTTCCAATCTACTTAATCCCATCGATTCATCGATTATCGTTTTATCCAGGTTCAATGAACAACGTATGTAAATTAAATCTCGAAAATCCCAGCCATTCGCGCTAATAATCCTCTTACGCGATATATCACGTGCCCGCGATATATCTAACCGATAAAACTCGTAGCCGAGCGGTGAAAAACTCGAATTATCGGACGTAATGTTACCAAACAGTAGCGCACCGAGCAGGGACGTTTATTCCGTTGCATTCTCTGCGCTGCGTCGAAAACAGCGATATTTGCCTGTTCCGGTATCGGCTGAACACATACCCGAATCGCCTGAAACGCTGGCCGTGTCACCGCGATCGGTGACCAAATAAGGGCGAACTATTTTCCCGCTTTTTCTTCCGGTAATCCCACCCTGGGTTCCAAGCGGATCAATATTTGCCCGCGACTAACGGCGATTAAAGCGGTTAACAAAACAGAAATAAACAGCGCCTGGTCCCGGACGAACGGTCCATCGAACGCCAGTAAATAATTCGTTGAACGTAGACGGTTAATCGGGGTTCCGCTACTTCCGGTACCCTGCGCTGCCAGTCGGTGCCGTGCAACGAGTTTCCAAAGCCCCCGTGACATTTGTTAGCGGTACAGCTGCTAGGTTTAGCATGGAGATTCATATCGCCATGGCGGCGCTTAATTAAGTGGATACAGATGGTCCTAATTGCGTACTTACTCCGATTTCCCCGTAATCCGGCCGATCGGGCGCAGCCGGCAATCGATGTCCGCTCCTGTGACCTCCTAGAGCCCCGGTGCCACCTACGCCCACTCCACGCCTCTCGTCGATCAGGAATATCTCCGTGAAGACGATCAGCCCGAACACGGCGAAGAACATGACCACCAGCATGAACGACATGTTGGCCCGTTCCTTTAGAACGCCGGCGTTCGCCCGGCTCCCGCCGGGCCCGCTCCTCCGGGAACCCATCCTCCAGTGCTTCTGTCGACATAACCAGAGAAATTCTCAGGTCGTTTTCGATTAGGTTTCGCTCGGGTTTGGGGTAGGGACGAGTTCGTGACTGATTTCTAGGTCACCGGTAGTAGGCAGTGAAGAGTGTTTCGTTTCGGAATAGCTGTGTACCGAGCGATATTAGGTGCTTTGGGTGCTTTGCGTTGGGATGACGGGTCCAGTGATGGAGTAGCAATTGGAGAAGGTTAGCGTAAAAGGGTAGGTGCGAGTGTATCTAATGTACCGAGTGTACTGTACTTGAGTGTACTGAAAATAGGTTTCGGTGTTTTGGGTTTTGCAAGTGTGTGATTTGAGGTGTATGGGGAAAACGATGGCGTACTATGGCGATTTGGAAGAGGGTCTCTTGTTTCTGAGTATTTGTGACGATGGTTCATGGGGAAGGGTAGGTTCTAAGTTTATGGAATTTGGTGGTGGTAAATTGGCTGGAAATTGATTGGATTGATATTAGCAAGATGCTTTGGGTAGTTTAGGTTGGAATGATGGGTCAAGTGATGAAGCGAGTGAAGAAGGTTTGTGTTGATGGGTCTGAAGAGAGGTTTAGATGTTTTGGTTTACGGAATTTCGCGATTCGAGATATTTGGAAAGAAAGGATGGGGTGCTATAGCGAGTTGGAAGAGGGTTTCTTGTTTCTGGCTATTTGTGACGATGGTTCATGGGGAAGGGTAGGTTCTTATAAATTTCTGAAATTTACTGATACTAAATTGGTTGGAAACTGTTTGGATATTGGTAGAAAATGAGATAATATGTGTACTAATCGTTTTAATCCTCTGATCTAAATATGACTTGTAGGATCCCTTGCAAAAGTAAATAATAACAAATAGAATAAAAGTCACTTAATTACAATTAAATTATTCATCGAAATATGCGACAAAAATATAATTTCATGAACGATAATTTCGAATGAAATAATAATTCTTAAGGATTTTAATAAATTCCTAACAATCTTTCATGCTCACTCTATTTTCTCACAAGCGTTTTAACATAACAATGATTAATAAGAGAGATTCAAATATTTTCTCTAGAGTCCTTTGACCACTGACAGAGAAATGAGCCAGATAATTAAATTTCTTGGAATTAGATACCATGTTTTCCAGGAAACCTAATTTGGAAATGAGTCAGATTGCCTTCCGCTTGATTATATTTCCAATTAACGAACTTCGCCTCCCGATTGGTTTATCTGTTAATTAAATCAATTGCGCATAAAATGAATATTCTGTTTCGTTCAGCTTTTAATTACGGAATATAAGACAGAATCTCCAAAATATTAATATTTCGTGTTACGTTTTCATTCTTTTATTCAGCAAACGCATCTCATCTTTCGCGTTAAAAAATTAATTTAAATCGACGAAGCATTTTACTGCGAATAGAGTAAATAGTGATTTATTAGTAGCATTTTCTACACTACTGTTTTCATTCACGCTATTCAAATTCGACAATTGCAGGATATAGAAGCGGTAGAAACAAATTCGATGGACACATAACGCATTTGACCTAGTTTGCGAATTAATATCACTTTCATGTTCGAATGGCTTTTTTGTTTTTTACAAGTTAAGCTAGAATTATTGATTTTACTGGTAGGACGTGTCGAGAATGTTCAAATACTCAGTCACTGTATGAAACGTAGCTGCTTGCACAATGTAAAAACAAAGATCAATAACTAGATACAAAATCAATATTCAACGTTCGCAGGCTTGATTTAGATTTAAAGCTACCATTTTAATTACCTCGCTAGAAATTATATCTTTGCGAAACATACTTCATTCACACTTGCAAATACGTCCAAGAATGAATTTCTGGAATATTATTTTCAAGCAAATTAATTCTTGGAAAATTAATTATTGGAAAATGAATGCTTGGAAAATTATTTTCCAGAATATTAATTATTGGAAGATGAATGCTTGGAAAATTATTTTCCAGAAAATTAATGTTTGACAAATTATTTTCCAGAGAATTAATTCTTGAAAAATTATTTTCCAGAAAATTAATTCTTGGAAAATTAATTATTGGAAGATAAATGCTTGGAAAATTATTTTCAAGAAAATTAATATTTGTAAAATTATTTTCCAGAGAATTAATTCTTGGAAAATTAATTCTTGAAAAATTATTTTCCAGAAAATTAATTCTTGAAAAATTATTTTCCAGAAAATTAATTCTTGGAAAATTATTTTCCAGAAAATTAATTCTTGGAAAATTAAGTATTGTAGAATTAATTCTTGGAAAATTATTTTCCAGAAAATTAATTCTTGGAAAATCAATTATTGTAGAATTAATTCTTGAAAAATTATTTTCAAGAAAATTAATTCTTGAGAAATTATTTCCAAGAAAATTAATTCTTGGAAAATTACTTTTTAGAGAATTAATCCCCAGAATTCATTTATAAAAAATTATTTTTAACTATAACATTCCCCACAAAATATAATTAATAGCAACTGTAATTACTTCTAAACAAATTAGAAATTTTTCTCTATATTATTATATATTCGACAAGAATAAAAATTTCTTTTTCTTTTCAGAATGATCAAACTTACTACAACGTTACATAGGTTTTCAATATTAAACTCAAAGAACGCCTAACCTATTTACATCCAGGATTCGATTATCATACGGCATAATTGATAACCGTTGAAAATGACGAACGCAGATCTGCATTTCATTACCGACTCGGTAAGTTTCGCACTTGGGTTCTAATTGACTCGTCAGCCCTGGTCAATAACAGCTACAGAGACAAATGACAGTTAGTTTTTAGACCACTTCTACAAACCGGGTCACGATTTACACATCTGCTTTTGAACTCGTAATCATCAATTTACCATCATCCATTTTGTCATAAAATTCGCTCCAGTAATGGTATATTTTCTATTAAAACGACCTCATAAATTTCCTTACGCATCTTTGAATCGCTATTAAAAGAACTAACAAAAAATATCGAGGAACCGATTTAATTAGAATTACGTATAAATGTTCCTAGTTTTAATAGCAATTGCTGCATTTAAACTCGCATTAGTATTAATATCAAAAGCAGAGAAACGCAGTGAGAAACTTGGAAAACTTGCTAAGAAACTCTGGACTTTTTATTCCAGGCTGGGAGACACTAATAAAATTTGCAGAATTATGAATTTTATCGTTGATGAGTCGTATATATTTTTATTGGACCCATTAGTCGATTAATGTTGAGGACTTTTAATTGCTTTTAATAATTTTTAAAATGAATATCTCTTTTTAAATTCGTATTAATAATATTAATAATTCTACAAAATTATATCGCTTATATTACAATTTCAATTATTACAATTTCGGTGATATTATTCGATGAATTTGCAGATTAAAATGGGAAAATTGAATAATTAAATCTAAGTAATAAAAGGAATATCGAATTCAAAATTATTCCGTACCTGATGCCTGTGGAATTATTCGAAAATTCCATTTGAACATTTACCAGGCTGCATAGGGGACATACTCGGACTTCGTAATAGAACGTATACGTGGTCTTTAAACTTGGTCTTCGGACTTTATGTGGAACGTATTCAAATTCGCCACATATTTCATGCTAACACGAATTAACATTCTCGCGTTAAATTTATCGTTATATTACCGTTATATCATCTTTAAGGCCATTTACTAGCAACGCTACCGTATTAAATTATGATGAAAATCGTCCGTATTAGCCCTGTAGCTATAGTAGCTGCTATCTACTTACGTTGTTTTAAAAATATTTTTATGTACAGAAATATATATTTACGACTCTAAATGTCCTACAGTATTACTGAAAATAATTTGGAAATTATTAAAAAAATATATTTATCATTGAAAATTATAAAGTACAATTGCAAACAATAAAATTATGGAATAAAAATATTATTAAAAATAGAGTTTAGTATTTCAGTAAATCCTAAATTCCTGTACTATTTTTAAAATATTTAAATCTGAATTTAAATTTAAATTAATCTTTATTTTTTTAAATTATAGATTGGAATATTTTATGAACTAATTTTATTAAAAAAAATTTCTTACCGTGATATTTCATTTGAATTTCCATTGTTTGATTCTGCTGATAAAAAGAAACGTGAGGTATTTTTTCCAGTACCATTATTTTTATTTTAATTTATAATAATTTTAAAATATAATTTTCCTAGTACTTTCGCTTCTACTTTAATTTAGAAATTTGTAGCTTTAAATAATTTAATAATTTACTATTTTTATTATTAACGTAACAACGTGAAAATTTTTCTATATTACTATAATTTACAACAATTTTAATTCCTATCGATTTGCTATATTGCGTACTAACCTAAACGTAATCTAGCTATACTCCGATAAATTTTCAATCCAATTATTTTGTCTCTAATTATTCTTATATAACTCGATGTACTAAAATATCCTCATTGCCTGGAAACTAAATAATCGAGAAAATTTTCTATTTTTCATAGCTGGATGTATTAAAACTTAATACCTTCATTCCACCAGCTTAATAAAATGAAACATTCTTGCAAGGCGAAAAACACTTTTGAATTTTATTCAGGTGTTAAGGAAATGGCCGTCGAGCAGGGACGAAAATAAGGAAACGTTGCAACTGGATAATAAGAAATTAACTTGATACCCTGAAGTTCGTTAAAGTCAGGATTACACGCACGTCCGGGAACTCAAAAAGCATCTTAAAACTGATATTAGCTCGGAAGATGCTACTGGAAAGTTACAGAATCTTGTAGGAAGTTAGAACGCCAAATGAACACTAGCAGGAATTTCGTAATTTGGTAGGGAACGAAAAGGGGTTGCGAAATGGAGTTTGTAGAGAATCTTTCCATCCATTACACATTACATTCCAACAGCTATTGGCTGAGAATTTACAATTAAAGATGCTAGTCTCCTTAATAAACCTACTAATCAGAATTTTAACCAACTAAACAAGCGCTGTTTACAACTACGTTGCTTTTAATCCCAATTTCCTTTATTTTATCTATTTTATTTACTCG